GAACATGTACAACGGCATTCTTTCTTGTACTCAATTTTCTTGGCATACTGCATTTTTCGTAAACTTGATACTCGAAGAAGACGTATTCTACGGTATTAGAAAAATAAAAGTTTTAAATAACCAAATAAATGCTAGTCCAACCTGCAGTTGTACTTTGTAAATGGCATGCCGTTTACTTTCCGCATACAGAAAATTGTACATTTTTGACGCTATTATTTAACACGTCCAGTAGAATTCATAATTTTTCAAATGTATGCAGACCATAGTGTATATTTCGTAAACCGCATTGATGAACGGACGGATGCGTTGCTTTGTGAATAAATGCTTCACGGTATTAAAGAGTCCTAGTTAGAGACTTTTTCTAGACCGCACGATATCCTTCCCTCACGTATCTTACTAACAGAAGACGTAAGCTGCAGTAAAGTGGGTATAACATAAGTTTTTTCGTTGTTCTGTGTAAAAATAGAGCTGTATAAAGGCTGCCACTCTTGGTGGGAAAACGAAGCAAATGCTTTTAAGCCTAGAGAGCTTTCCAAGTTTCTGATGGGGCTAATGACCCTAGGCCTTGTTTAGCAGTCCTCACTTTTTCCAAACCTTGATTTTTGCCTCGAGAACCCTTCTTTTCTGTTTTTGCCACTACTTGCACTTCAAGAGACCTCGAAAGAACAGCATCTAATGATTATTTTGTGGGCGACTTCATATTGCCCTTTTGGAAGCGTAGTCTTATTCGGGTAAAATTGTCTAAGATACATTTTCAGCTGATGCAACAAAGACGTCTACGTGGCTTTTGCCTGATTTTTAGTTTTTACCAATTGTTATCTGGTTCTTGGAGGATTTGTAAACGCACCGAGCATGCGGGCTCGTAGGGATCTAATTTTACCTGCCTTCTCTCACTTCTGCACCGGATATGTTTGTAGTTTCCTGTCTCTAACAAAGGGCGTCGACAGTTACCTGAGCCATTTACGAGAATTTCATGCTTTTTATGTCCGACGTGTGGCTTTGATTTTTGTTCTTTGTCCAGCGGTTCTCCGCTAATCGTGCTTTTTGCGAATACGAAACGTTCTCTTTGAAAAAACAGAGGTAAATGTAAGAGTATCAACAGGGCGTTTTCGCAAAGCGTCCGTTATCGCAATCCATGGACTCCGAAATAACGGCTTATCTTTTGATCGTATATCGGGATTTAACCTTTCTAGCATTTTATATTCTCAGAACATCAGCGAGTTTTTAAGTTTCAAAGAGTGCTGATTGGATCAGAGATCCTTCTAATTCTTTGAAAGACGATCACATACGCTGCCGTTACTTGTTGCTGGAGATGGTTAAACTTATTACAGGTTCGGCGTTAGCATGCTGTTGCACTCCTTGGATGAGAATAATCTGAATCCACAAATACTGCGAGCCATTGAAATTAAGGTTATAATTGATGGATGTTTGATGTATGTATATTCTATGCGGATCAAAAAATGTCTGTGTACTTCTTCACTGCGAGTTGTTCCTCATGTAAAAAGACAGGCTCGTCGGAGTCTTAAGTTTGTTTAACTACGTCTTTTTTCATTATGCAGAACATTATTACATGCGAATTGAGTATAAAAGAAGCAAAACTTCTTTAAACAGCTGTGGAAAATGTCAACGTTTTCGCTGGATTTTTCTTCTAATTATCGCTATTGAAAAAATATCTTGTTAATTTCACCCCTTGCCGTCTAGGGCAGGAATGGGACAGCTTATACACACATTAACTTAGTAGTTAGCTCCTTTCAAATAAACTCTTACCTAGCTCCATTAAACATACTAAGATATTTCCGTCTTATCAAGCTGCCGTCGTTTAAATGCTCTCCTCTTGGACTGCTTTCCAAAACTCCCTTTGAGAAAATTGTTACTTAAGTAACACTTATTTTTTCACTGATGTTCAGTGCCTTTATAAATTAAACCCATCTTGTAGAAAAATTCATAAAATAGCCTTTCTTATGCTTGCTTTGCGACATATAATTTTTTTTGCATTTTATCCTTAGCTGAATTGTATCCCTTGGTTAAAAGAAACTAACTAAGTTCCTGAATAATTTTGAAACCAAGCTGCTGCAGCTGTATTCAGGTTTTTCGAACTCCCATCTGTTTATTTTGAGTTTACGGAGAATCGTACATTCAAGACGACACAGTATGGCGCTAATAAAGTTTGCAGTAACTGTGGGCCGCCTAGTATACTTACATGCAGCATTTATAATGGAGAAATATGATCCCTTATGCATGTGTATTTTAAGACCTTTAAAGTCCCACAATTAGAAGCTTCTTGAAGTCAGAAAATGCCCTTTTTAATGTATAAGGTTTGGAGACGCCATTTACTACCAACTACAGGATGGCGAGTGCTGCATGAAACATTGCGCAATTTGAAAAAGACCGGTAATCACTCGCAAACCAATATTGAGTAGGGTTGCAATACTGTTTAGCATACAGTCCAATTTCAATTATTTTCAGTCACGCTGGGATGCCGACTCTGTGATGATTTTCTTTTTGACAGCTGCGAAAAAGTTGATTCTGTAAAAAATTGCTACTTAAATAGCATGCGTTTTTATCATTTCTTTTGGCTGCCTTTATAAATTCAAATATATTTTATGGAAAGCATGCACAAAAAATCCTCTCTTGTACTTAATTGATTGCAGATTACGCCTTCTGTAAATTTTATTCTTAAAAGAAGGGTTTCCTTCGGTTTAAAAAATTCTAATTCTGAGTTTTTTTACGACTGTGCGGTGTTCATTCATAATACATCGTATCAGTCAATTTATTAATGGTGCCACTGATATATACAGCGTGATCCATTGAAAAGAAGACTACTCGATCCCTGGGACAATATTTTTATTCGCCTGAGGTTTCGAGATCTGTCGCGGATTCGTCATCAGTGACATAGTCAAACAGCAGTAGCAGAAACGTTTCTGCTAATGCAGCGCGATCCATGACCATCGCAAATTCTAGGAGAGCTATGCAACCACTTCTTGAAACAATAGGCAAAAACGTACATTTTCTTAAACAGGATGAACACAGCCTTCACTTAGTAGAACTTGAATTCAGCTCTAGCAGTTGGAAGCTTTCAAAATCATTCGGCAATTTAGAAACTTTTTAAAACCGAAGGAAACCCTTCCTTTAAGAATAAAATTTTAAGAAGGCGTAACCTGCAATCAACTAAGTACAAGAGAGGATTTTTCGTACATACTTTCCATAAAATATATTTGAATGGACATCTTCGCTTGCGATGGTCGAACTAACACAACATTTGAATTTATAGAGGCAGTCGAAATCACTGATAAAATGCATACTATTTAAGTAGCAATTTTTTACAGAATCAACTTCTTCGCAGCAGAGTCGGCATCCTAGCGTGACTGAAAATAAGTGAAATTGGACTGCATGATAAACAGTATTGCAACCCTACTCATTGTGGGGTTGCGAGTGATTACCGGTCTTTTTCAAATTGCGGAATGCTTCGTGCAGCACTCGCCATACTGTAAGTCCATCAGTCTTTTTATGCATATTTTCTGTAAAACGTATTTCAAAAGCCGGCACTCTGATGTAACTACATATACTAGCATACTGCTGTACGGCAATTAATACTCAAACCGCACTGGAGCAATATTTTTATAATCAAATACCCTTTTCAGAATATCGGTTCCAATTTCATGAGGTTACCTACCTGTTGTACGCATTTAATCCACTATTCCCTCTCGAGCCTCCTATTGCCGAGCGTTCTGGCCTAGACTGTTACGGTTCTGTCACATCATAGTCAGCTGATCAGAACAGTTTTCATCTCGTTTCTGTCTCACAGTTCAG